AGTAGGTGTCGGGTGACGAGAAAAGATGAGTGGGTCGATCTATTGATTATGCTTATTTATTTTGCTTCCGTTAGAATAAATGAGGTCTTGTTGAACCTTTTATGTTGAGGCTTGTGAAAACCTTTTCTTTCAAAACCTATGATTTGTTGTGATGTTGGGAATACTTGATGAACCCTTATTGTTGAATTTATGATATTTGGTTTTTATGAGGTTTGAATATTCATGTTGAGTATTTTGTCATGTGATATGATTTGGGTTAATGAAAACCTTGTGAAAACCGGGTAATGAATCCCCGTGGGCCCAGATAAGACTTGGGTTATGAAAAATGTTGATTAACACCCGTTAGATTTTGAAAATTATCTCGAAAAATTATTTACTTATTTTTGGAAAGTCTGAAATTTCTCTAAAATCAAAGTGGGGTGTTACATATGGCGAGGGAGACAGAGAGTAGATATGGCGAGAAAGGGAGAGAGAGAGAGTACCGGCGAGGAGAAAGAGAATAAGTGCGAGAGTGAACCTTTTTTCTGATGTTGTGCAAAAATAAGTGAAGAATAATATCTGATGTGTTATTGCACAATGGACCGGCCTTCCTTGATCTCCAACGCTTGAGCCCTCAGAAACCTGCAAGGACGCCGAGAAGTGTTCCCGGCGGTAAACCTCCCACGCTCAAGTTAGTAGGGTATCGAAGAAAGCACAATATGTATTTTAGGGTTTTTAACGTGTTGTTTACCATCATACAAGATTGACCTATTTATAAGTAGTTCCCTAGCTTCCTTCATACTTTATTCCTCATCTGTGAGATCATCCATCCCTTCTATGATCCCGACACTACACGCATCCCTTGTGAATCAATACCCAGCTATTATTGGGTCGAGTCCATACGTTACCAAATTACTAACACATCTGCTCGGTCAAGTACACCAAATTCCAACTACACATGTAACCTAGCTGTTGGTGGGCCGAACACATGCGACACCGAATTACATCTGCTCGGCCCATAAACCGAGTCAATTTCTTTGGTCCACACAAATGTTCTCTTGTGCTATATCATCTAGTCCCCCCATTATCAAACGAACTATTTTATCTTCACCTTAGATAGACTAGTTTGTAATTACTCCAAAAATAGAGGTCCCTCGTAATGGGATCCCAAATATGAACCGAGTGATGTGCTTATAACTCCCTAACCGACGCATAGTCCGAGCAGGTGGGTCAAATAAGTAGCCGAGCAATTTGTATGCCATTTTGGACCGAGCAGATTAAGCAATGGCTACCTAGAACATCTATGTGGCCACACCATCCGAGCAGATGAGCCGACCGCGTACCCGAGCAGATGAATAATTCCACAACTGAGTAAATTAATTAAAAAAAATTCCTACCCGAGCAAATTATCTGATTTCGGAGTCGAGCAACAGGTATGTGATGTTGACCGAACAGCTCAAAAATCCTACCCAAACAGATAAAATGACCCATACCCGAGCAGATGAAGCGTACCCCTAACCGAGCAGATTATTCGAATGCGTAACCGAGCAGATAATCTGCTAGGTTGACCAGTCAACGCCAACAATTGCTACCCGAGCAGATAAAATAACCCATATCCGAGCAGATGAAGCAACCCATATCCGAGCAGATGAAACAACCCATATCCGAGGAGATGAAGTAATCGCTACCCGAGCATCTGTTTTGCCATATCTCCAAGCAGATGATCCGAATTCCTAGCCGGGCCGACCAGCTCCACAATCCCCACCCGAGCAGATTATCCGAAAGCGC